TACAGGAAATCTTCAAAATCGTGATAAATCTTCTTTCTATCTACTCAGCGTACGCGCAGCTAGCCACAGCGAAACAAAATATTTCTTGCATCGTAGATAGAGTCGTCCCCCTCGGATGGATCACAATATTTCCAGCTGTATTTGGACGAGAATTTGATTCGCAATATTCGCGAACAGAAAGTCCATCAGCTACGAGTACAACTTGGGCCGATTAGAACAAATGAATTCCTTTTCCACCTGTTCGACGTAAACGGGTTTAATTGTCCGGTGAGGCTTTTCCCGGGGCTAGGATCAGCAAATCGGCACCTTCCATGCTACTATACACCGACAGCTGGTTGCTCTTCTCCGTCGGATTCGATCGGTTTGAGTCCGGAAAATGGATGTGCGTTGCCGTCGCCTCCATGATGCGCTTGATGTTTTTGTCCCCACGACCGATTATGAACGAGTGGTCCATCGTCTATTTTAATGAGATCGTTGGCGGGGCAGAAAGTATCTTTTGTGCAGAATATGTAAAAAAGGAGAGACTTCGGATGTTAATCAAAATGCATATATAGAGTTGCCAGACATGTTTTGTCAGGTACTCTATTTTGAAGTCTGTGATAGGGAAATCACAAATAGAGTGTCATCAAAATATATGGCACGTTGAGAAATTGAACTAGTGAGAGCAAATTTCCTCTCTCTAATTTGAATTTTTTGGCTCTCTGGGGACTGGTAGTAAAGTAGTTAAAACTGTATGGAGAAAAATCATGTTTATTTAATTGTAGCATGTTTAACAAAAATTTCTGAGAAAAAAAAACTGAACGACAAAGTCCCTGACTAATGTATTTAGGTTGTCATTCACTTTTTTTTTACCTGAATACGCACCGAAAGCGAGTTATTCCCACTTCTCTCAATTTCTATATGGGGATTTTTATCACTGGCAGGCCAGCGGAACAGCGCCATCTCTGTGGAAAATGGCCGGACGATATGATTAATTTGTGTATGCAGAAGGGATAAGTTGGGAAAAATAGTATCGTCCGATTTACGTGAAAACATAGGTGGTTTTCGTCCACCCTATTATTGTTCACGTAACTTTTACCGGAATTGCACGTAGCCAATCAAAACTCAGCTTCGATTATCTACATAAATTAACTTTATTAGGGAGGCTTTCTGTCTTGGGCTGGTTCGCCTCTTATCTACATAATTATTCAGGTAAATAAGATCTGATTTCCACGCACTGCTTACGTAAAATCGGGGTGAAAACATTTTGCTATTTCGAACAAAGGCTTGCCCTGTTCTCCATCTTTGCAGATTTCTAACCCGATGGCAACATTCCGTCCAATCCCGTCAAGTCGAGCAGCAAAGCAAATGGTCCATCCTTAGGACCTGAGAGGCCGAGTCAATTTACGGGTATGGCTTCCCAGCAGCAGAGTGACGAGTGACCCACAATCCCCGATGCCCCAGTTACGCATCAAGAAGCAATGTCTCGTGACGATGCGGAGAGGTGGAAGGATGCCATGCAGGAGGAGTACGATGCTTTGATGGATAACGGAAAGTGAACCATGGCGGAGCTTCCTAAGAATAGGAAGGCGATCCGTTGCAGGTGGGCGTTCAAAACAAACCTGGATGCCGAAGAAAACCTTGATCGACATAAGGCACGTCTTGTCGTCAAGGGGTTCTCGCACCGAAAGGGGGTGGATTATGACGAGACATACTCCCCGGTTGTTCATCATAGTTCGCTGAGTTATCTGTTCGCGATGCACAATCTGGACATGCAACAGTTGGATGCTGTTACGGCTTTCCTCCAAGGCGAACTGATGGAAGAAATCTACATGGAGCAACCCCGCTCTTTGTAGATCGACGGAATTCATCCATGCTGTTCCGTTTAAACAAGGCACTGTATGGGCTGAAACCAGATGTTGAAGGACTTCGGGCTGACCCAAGCGAAGGAGGTAGCATGATATTCGTAGCAGTTTATGTGGATCTGGATCCTCCCGTTGCCATTTTTTTTTTCACTATTCTTGAATTTTCTTCAGTTTTCCACTGGGCCCATAACCTTTTGCATAGAGCCGAAGAATAGAACTAGGTACATGGTACATGTTCAGATGAGACGAAAGCAGTGCCTACTAGCCATGAATATTATAATTCAAATTCAGCACGCCTGCTACTACTGACAGATATATGGAGAACTCGATTTCAATTTCCGAACAGTCGTATGATCTCAATATAATTTCAAGCTAAACATTGCATTAGGTCCTAAGTAACATTGATCGATTATCTTCGTCGACATTCTCTTTCGTTAATAACTTGAGCACATAACCGTTTCTTGTTGTGTTTGTCATATTTGATGCTAGTTAAAAGCTTTTCTTTATCGATCTGGGTGCTGAAAATGCCTGGGAATGTCTTTAGAATGCCATGGGGAAACAAAGAGAAAGTCGACGAAGAGAATCTGTCAATGTTACTTAGGACTTAATGCAATGTTCAGCTTGATTTCTGATAATTCGGAAGTATTCCTGGTCAGCCTATTATGGTGAGAGAATATTGAAAGGATTTAATTTCAATTTCCGACTATTTTAAGGTATTCGAAATGATTCATCATTAACCTTTTATTTTTGAAAGACGTACTAACCGACTGTAAATCTTCAGAATAATTCCTAATCAATCTTGTATGCTGTGGGAATATATCTCGATAACTTTTTCAAAGTGACGTATAAGCTTCTATAAACAATGCATTTTATCGTCGATTTGGCGTAACTTGCAGTTCGCACACGCATGCTAACACTATCATCAGGCAGGGGAAGTGTTCCCCTAACTGATAGTGGTGTTAGTATGCGTGTGCGAGCTACCAGTTACGCCAAATTGACGATCAAATACATTGTTTACAAAAGCTGATACTGCCCTTCGAAAAAGTAATCGAGATATAAAGAACTCGATTTAAATTTCCGAACAGTCCTATATCTTCAATATGATTTCTGATAATGATCAATCTAGTATTAAGGAGAACCAGATTTCAATTTCCTATCAGTCGAAGACCTCCGATAGAAGGTATGATAATAATCAATGTAATATTATGGGTATATTTATAACAGTCTCAAGATATTCAGAAAAAATTAAGATCAACCTGATATAAAGAGTGAATATTCTAAGGACTCAATTTTAATTTGTGATCAGTTGAAGGTCTCCAGCCTTATATTTTGAAAAACATTCTAACTGACTGAAGATTTTCAGAATAATTGCTGATCGATTGATATTATTAGGGAATATTTGGCGATCTTTATTTAAATACCCGATCAGTCTAAGGTTTTCGATATAATTTCTGATAATTCCAGATCAACCTAATATGATGAGAGAATATTAAAAGGATTTAATTTCCATTGCCGATCCTTTGAAGGTCTTCGACATGACCTTATATTTTGAAAAACATTCAAACTATGGATGGCCACCCTGGTTTCGGATAAGATTTATGCCTGTTTTTGGTGTCCTCCGGCAAGTTGGCCTTCTGTAGTCTTCCCCCAACTCGGAGAATACGAACTTCATCGAGGTAAGGGTCCAGAGTGATCAAGTGGTTTTCCTTGCTGATGATCTGATAAATGATCGATGATGTCCGGAAAGGTCTCCTGCTGCACTAGCTTGACCATCATTCTGAGTACACTATCCACTTCTATCGCTGTGTACACATTTGATGGAAATGTGCCGCTTGGCTGACAACTTACGAATGAAACGAAGAATCCGGGCCATAGTACGTTTCATAACCTCGAAACAGCTCACATTTTCGAACAAACTGAAGCGTTCGACTGTCGACGTTGTCAGAGTCCTCATCTCAGGAACGTTTTCGATCACAACCGGAACGTTGGTAGTTGGTGTCCATTGGTGACCAAAGGAAGTTTGGTCCTTGCCACCATAGATTGCTCTTTTTCATGTCTGCAGGCATCACACCTCGGGAGAGCGGGTCAGCGGGGTTTTCTAGGGTGCCAACGTGACGCCACATAACCGGAGATGTTGTTTGTTGGATGTACGCTACTCGGTTCGATACGTACCTTTTGAGCTTGGCAGAAGGAGTGCGAATCCAAGCTAGAACTACCTGAGAATCACTCCAAAGAGCGATAATTAATTGAGCAAGAAGTTGAGTGCCGCAAAACTCGAGTTTTGGGATCGTTAATTGTTCTTCAGGTTTCCTAATTGGAGCTATACGCAATTTTGAGCAAAGGAGACTTACCGATACGTTTTCTTCGCGATCGACCGATTTCACGTACACGCAGGTCTCGTAGTCTAATTTCGACGCGTCGGAAAAACCGTGAAGTTAAACGGTCTTCAGTTCAATGTGGAGAAGCACACACCTTTTTACTTCAATTGGGTCAATTTTTGCGAGTTGGGAACGAAACTTCTGCCACTTGGAGTTTAGGTCGGTATCTATTGGATCGTCCCAGTTACTACCACGCTTCCAAATTTCTTGTACGATCAGCTCTGCCGCAAGTATCATAGGTCCGATCAGTCCGACAGGGTCGTAGAGTTTCGCGATGTCTGACAAAATAGTCCTTTTCGTGTTGCTGGTCTCGTTGAATTCAATTGTCTTTAGATCCAAAACGAAAAGGTCGCTGCTTGACAGTAAGACCGTCTGCTCCTGATGTTCAGTGGGAATGATGTCCAACAGTTTGACTTTTGTTAGAGCACCATTTATGCAATTGGAACCCTGCTGATGCCATCATCTCAATGAGCTGACCTTGTAACTCAATTGCCTCTTCAATGCTGTCTGCCCCAGACAAGAAATCGTCCATGTAAAAGTCCAACCAACCGCGAGCCGCTGCCTTGGGGAATCTGTCCTTTTGGTCAAAATAAACTAGTGACCAAAAGTGACGCTCGACTCGACTTACATAATAGGGTCCTCTGTAGTTGGATGAAGCATACAACATAAATAAATAAAAAAGCAAATCATTCCATAAAGGTTGTGATATCGAATTTAGAAGTTCTTTCATGATTACAGTTTACTATAATTAACTTTTTTTTATTTTCCAAACAATCCATTCGAGACGAGAATTCAAAAATCCTTCTGTAATAGGTGAATTTATTCGGTTACAAAGATCGTTTGAAATAGTACACATGATAAGGTATTTTTTGTTTGTTTTGCTATTGCATTCACACAAGGGAATTGTACCAAATATGTCCTATACCAATATTGTTGAACTCTTCTTCTATTCTAAACCTGCCACTAATCGTAATCAGGCGGCTGCATCACCGGTCGGGATCACAACAACCAACCATGGCAGAACAAATGGTTATAAATAATAGGAAATTTACTAAACTAATTGTGGCAGTATTCTTGCGAGCATCGAAAAATGACAAATGAGAAGAATGAACAAACGAAAAAAAAAAAATATAATGGAAGAGCATTATTTGTACATGTTGCATAGTGAAGTTCGCGCTGAAGTCGACCATCGAGCTGCTATTGTTCATGACGCAGCGAGCGGACGCAGTTCATCAGCTGGGCAATCTGATCCCGGGTGGTGCGTTCCTGCTCCACCATCCCCCGGCGTGCCGTCTGCTTGACGGTGAATTCCTCCTCCAGCAGCTGCATTTGCTGTTGCAGCCGTTCGTTGCGTGCCCTCTGCTGGGCGTTGCGCCGCAGCAACCGTTTGCGAAGCATTCGATCTGATTTGCAGTATGGGTGCCAATTTTGAGGTTATGTGTGCGGGGTGCGAGTGCGAGTGTGCATGTGTGAGGAAACGGGAAATGGAAAGAAAAGAAAACAAACACAAGCGAAACGAAATGATAAATTTTGTGAGGCATAAGGTGAAAATCATAAATAACGAGTAAAATGGAGGAACAGCCACCTGATTTTTTCTATAATAATGAAATAAACTACTAGACTGAATAAATATACAAACTAAATTAGCTACGACTTATGAACGAACTTCAGCATCTACTGAGCTTGTTGTAGACGAACTGAACGAAAACACTAGTGATGTTGTTGCTGAAATTTACCACGCTGTTGATTCTGTAGCGCCACGGAGTCCTGTTGCTTTTTCTGCAGGCAAACCGGACAGATGTTGTCCCGTTGGCGGAGCAGCTGCGGGTTGAAAATGCTGTTGCTGTGGCAGCGCAGATGGTAGATGTTGCAGCAGTACACGCACGCGCTCAGACTGTCCGCGGAACCTAAAATTAGAAGACGAAAATTATGAGTTGGGTTGTTAGTTGTAGCTTAAGACTCGTCGACTCACCAGACTTGTTGCAAACGATGCAAATCTTATTCTCCAACTCGGTCAGTACCAACTTGGAACTGCCACTGTCCCCAACGGCGGCGGCGGCAACAACCCGTTGTTGCTGCTGCTGCTGCTGACCACCTGTTCCTCCTGCTGCTGATCCCGAAGAAGGGCCCGCACCGGATCGAACCGTTCCCGCTCCGGTGCTGGAGGCAATCAAATCAAAGTGCTTCCGCTTTTTGACGCCCCGCGTCGATGGTGGCGAGTAGAGAATCGGCCGTTTACTTCTCCGGCGAGTGATGTGGGTCATTTGCTGTTCGTAGTAGTCGATCTTACCGTAGTGAAAATCCTTCCGCTCGGTACTGTTGCAGCTGCGACGTTTGCGCTCCGTCTTCCTAGTGGTCAGAGCTTTGCTTTCCTCCAGCGTCAGGAGACCGAAGAACTTCAGAAACACCGGTTGTTCCAGTTCATCGATATCGAGCGGTTGGTATTCGAGGTACTCTTCGATTGGCATCGGGGCACGATCAACCGAAGAATCGTCCGAAGCTTTGACCGAGAGCGGAGTGGAAGAACGGGAATTCGGGGATGAGTCTGACGAGGCGCCACTGGACGGACGTTTGCTGCTCGAACCCGGCAAGGGATCGCTGCGAGTCTTGATGATACCCTTCTGACGAGTGACGAAAGCGGTTACCACCGGTTTCGATTGCACCTCCGGTTGACTCTGAGTTAGGCTGCTGTTCTTGGCTTTGTTCAGAGCTTGCAGCAGATTCATTCGGCTCTTCTTGATGGCCACTGTGGCCGGGAGCTCCTGCGGTTCGTATTCGTCTTCCTGCTTGATGGGAGAGCAGGCGATTTCGGGCAGTTTGGGAATCGGACGTGGAAGGCTTTCTATTTTCGGCGGAATTTTGATGAGCTTCTTCGGAACGGCGATCGTTTCCGGTGCGATCTTCTTCAGGGCTTGCTCGTTGACCAGGGCCTTAGCGTTGGAGAAGGTTATGTTGTTGAAAGGTGGTAAGGTCTTGGTGGCTGCGGAGCTAACGCGTTCCTCCTTCGGCTTGAGCAGCGAGATTTGCCGCTGATTGTACGGATGCGATGCGGTGGGAGAAATCGAAGAACTGCTGCTGCTTTGGGATTCGTCTTTCTCTTTCTTCGGTCGAGCTTCATCGAAGGAGGAAAGCCTGCGGGAAAAGAGATGTTAGGTAAAGTAAGTATCCCTCGCTGTACACAATACTCACTCGTACTTGTGGACCAGTTGGGCCTCGTTCAACCGTTCCGAGACGTTTTTCGGTGCGTATTTGGTGTTGAAGGACATCTCGTAGTGGACGGATAGGGCCCGGGTGACAAATCCGTAGGCGATTTCCTGGTCGATATCGACGAACTCCTTGGCGGCCATCTCCTTGATGTAATCGCGAACCAAGCCGTCCAGCTCCCGAACCAGCGAACGCTGCTCGTTGCCAATGTCGATCATTTGTCCTTCCAGTTCCTGAAGGTTGCGCTTCAGTTTGGATATCTGTTTGGAGAATGGACGGGAGTGTGGAAAATCGGATTAAGTCATCTATCGGAGGCTTTGGTATTTTTTAGCGAAATCATTTTTCAACCATGGATACAACAAAGTAAATGTGAAAGAATAGCTGCAAAATGGAGCACATGCGATACGAGAATGGAGTGATGCTCGTTAAGAAAATACCCGGAGATGGGTACTGTATATTTTCCGTACTGGTTTTCCGTACGGCTTTATAAGACGCAACTAGGAAATCGAACATCATCATACAAAGATAATGGACGTCGAAATGTCGTGGAACACATCAGCAATAACATGAAAGACTTTCTGGAGACTAGTAACGTCTAGCAGTGATGCAAAAAAAGGATAACGAGGAAAGCACTGTATATTGAAAAATATCAAAGACGCCAATTTGAAAAGAAAATTGAGGATGCAAAATGGCCGCATTTTAGCTATTATGTGAATGATTGTCCACAACAAACAACTAGGGGAAAAGTTGGCTTCGGCAATACCTTAACCTATTATCGTCAGGGGGGTAAACAACATCCTTGAGAGCTCAATTTTGGCATGTAGATACATTGTTATTCAGAGCAACTATTGGCCAAATTTGAGTGCTCTAGGACTTTGTTTACCCCTTGACGATAATAGGTTAAGGTATTGCCTAAGCCAACATTTCCCCTATGCAAATTTTCGATTCGTCATTTGGCGTGGAACTGCTCCATATTTTTGCACAGGCCAGAACATTGAAAAGTTCCATGGGCTTATCGGATATTCTACGGACTTCTCGGAAGATATTCTACTGACATTTGGAAATTCTACGAACTTCTCGAAGTTCTACGGTCTTTTCTACAGACTTCTTGGAACTTCTATGAACTTCTTGGAAGTTTAACGGAATTTATGGACGTTTCAACGGTCAGCTCGGATGTTATACGGACTTATCGGATATTCTATGGACTTTTCGGAGGCTCTATTCTACGAACATTTTGGAAATTCAACAGATTTCTCAGTCTTTTGCTTTGATTTTTTGAAAGACTAATTCTAGATAGAGCTGGAATTAGGGCGTAACAGCTTTTGTAAGCAATTACTTCTGTGGACCATTTCCAAGTATAACTGTAATCTGGGGGGTCATAGTAGAATTCTTCTGGATGGTGCTGGAGTCGCTACCGAAAGACTTCGAGATCGGAGAACCTCCACTCAAGACGATCGAACTGTTCAAGGATCTGGTGCGGAAGACTTTGGTGTTTCAGAACAGTTTGATCGAAGTTGGGAAGGTGGTGGCATCGTTCCGGAAGCTGATTGAGAAGATGACCGTGAAGGGACTGCTACTGGTCATAATGCCAATTCGGAATGAAATTAGTGGGTTGGTTAGAGGGGAGAGCGAGACCCTGAAGGAGGAAGTGAAGGGAACGTTGAAGACGTTGGTAGATCAATTTGGGGTGGGGAGATTCGTGACGGAGTTGAAATCACAGCCGAAGGAGGTTAAGTGGAATTGTAAAATGTTGATTGATCAGTTGTTGGGCTTGAAGGTGAGTTCTTGAAAGTCGACATCGGTGAGCGCTTGAAATAGAATAGGAGAAGTCCCGGCGAATTGTTAAGTGACCGGTGTTTTACATGGTGCCCAGCGATTGAAGCAGTTCGGTATACCATAAACATTTCAACATCGCGATGTTTGCAATAATCCTCGTAGAACTGATCCGAACTCCATGAGTATGGAATCCGAGTCGCACAGAAGGTCGTAAGAGGATCGGTGTCCATACAAAGGCCACCAGTAGTTTTGTCAGTGGTCGTTTACCATGTTTGATTCCGTAACGCTTCACCACTTGGTTGATCAGCCAACCGACATTCACTTCCTTGATTCGTTTCTCATGGTAACTGACATCGATGAATGTACCTTTGATGATCACTCGAACCATGTTCGGAGGTAGAATCTTCACCGGTGTTAGCTTGCCTACCATCGACAGCGCATCAGCTTTTACAAGTGTTCTCGGGCCGGCACTGCTTTTCGCCATTTGTCCGATCGTTGGACTATCTTACCGTGTGGACATATTAAACCCCACCCAAGTCTGATTCCGGTTGAAAGTCCCACTAGAACGCTGGCGACGCATCTCTGACTGAGTCGATGGCTTTCGGGAGAGTCTCCTCCCGGAAGCGTTCATCCGAATCTGAAGAGCATCTGGACCAGTTTCGTCTGATGATGCACGTTCGCTTCGTCTACTTACCACCGTCACCTGTGCTTCATCCGAGTCCTCATCATACTCCAATCCAGTAGAAGTTATTGTCCTGTCGGAAATTGGAAGTGCATCCCCTGGAGAACGTTCTAGCTCGAAGCTTCGATTCGGTGGTTGGAGGCCGTTGCTTATTATTCAGTGTAGTCCTTTTTCGATAGAATTTGGGAGCAACGAACCGAGATTAACGAAAGCCTAAAAATGAAGCGGACGCCGTGTGGAACGCGGGAGACGCCAAGGCAACGGCCACCATCGGGCTGTTGATCGAAGATAATCAGCACGGACTGATTCGATCATCGCAGACGGCCAAAGCTGCCTGGACGGCACTCCAAAATCACCACCAGAAAACCAGCCTGACGTCGAAAGTGTCGCTGCTAAAGCGAATTTGCGACAAGCGGTTCGCAGAAGGTGAGGACATGGCAGAACATCTGTTCGAGATGGAAGAGCTGTTTGCTCGTCTAGCCAACGCTGGACAGGAGCTCGCGGAAAACCAGACGGTCGCGATGATCTTGAGGAGCCTTCCCAGCTCGTTCGACACACTAACAACAGCCCTCGAAAGTCGGTCGGACGATGACCTCACGCTAGAGTTGGTCAAGCGGAAGCTGCTGGACGAAGCAGCGAAGCGGCAGGGTGCTGCCTCAAGCTCGGCGCTGAAAATCGGCCACGGTAGCAAGAAGAAGTCGATCGTGTGCCACTACTGCAAGCGGGAGGAGCACAAACAAAACGAATGCCGGAAACTGGCCCGCGATTCGGAGAAGGGATCCAAACCTCAAGAGAAGGCCAACAAGAGAAAGGAATCCGTTTCTTTCGCGCTGGCTGCAGGAGGAACAACGGGAAACAGCAGTACCAAACCGTGGATTGTTGATTCCGGTGCAACGCGACACACCGTCGCTGATCGAACGTTTTTCCGAGAGCTGCGTGAAAGTGAGGTTAAGTTCGTCAATTTGGCGGACGGGAAGCAAGCGAATGTCGGCGGTGAAGGTTCCTGCGTCGTCGAGTGCGTTGATGAACACGGTTTTCGTCGTGAAGTGAGCCTAAGCTTTGCGCTGTACACTCCCAGCCTATCGATGAACCTGCTGTCCGTGCCGGCACTCATCCAGAAGCAAGCCACGGTTGTTTTCGATGCGGCTGGTTGTCGTATTCTGCGAGGGGATGCTGTCGTCGCTGTGGCACATTTGAAGGAAGGCCTGTACCAAATCAAGCAACCGTCGGATACCGTGATGGTGGCAAGCGGCCGCCACAACAAGGATTGCCACCGGGACCCGAAAGCGATCGACCATTTGGTGAAGAACGAACTAATGGACGGTCTGACGCTCCACCGGTGCAGCGTCGACGAAAAGTGCGAGTGCTGCTTGAAAGGTAAGACACCACGTACCCCTTTTCCGAGTGAGTCTCATTCTAGATCAAAAGCACCAATGGACCTGGTGCACACGGACGTTTGCGGTCCGGTGGAGGTGTCGTCGAATAGCGGTTATCGCTATTTTATGACCATGATCGATGACAACAGTCGCTATTGTGTGCTCTACCTGCTGAAGGAGAAGTCGGAGGTCGCCACAAGGATTGAGGAGTATGTTGCGTTCGCCAAAACACATTTCGGCCGGAAGCCAAAAGCCATCCGCTCTGATCAGGGCGGGGAGTACAACGGAAAGCAGCTGCGTTCCTTCTACAAGCGTGAAGGGATCACAGCCCAATACACCGCCGGCTACAGCCCGCAGCAAAATGGGATCGCGGAACGGAAGAACCGTTCCCTCATCGAAATGGTACGCTGCATGCTGTTCGATGCACAGCTGGAAGAGCGGTATTGGGCAGAGGCGTTAAACACGGCCGTATACCTCCAGAACGTTTTGCCAACAAAACCCCTCGACGTCACGCCTTACGAGGTTTGGAACGGCGTGAAACCCAAGGTCGATCACCTCAAAATATTCGGCTGCGCTGCGTGGGCCTCCCTTAGCTCAGTCGGTAAAGGCGCAGCTACAAAGCAAGACCATGCTGGAGGTGGCTGGGTTCAATTCCCGGTCCGGTCTAGGAATTTTTCGGGTTGAAAAATTTCTCGACTTCCCTGGGCATAGAAGTATGATTGGACTTGCCACACAATTATACTAATGCAAAAATGGTACAGGCATCGAAAGCTCTCAATTAATAACTGTGGAAGTGCATCTAGAACACTAAGTTGAGAGCACGCAATAAGCTAATATGCGATATGCAATAAGCTTGAAATGCGAAGAAGAAGAAGAAGAAGAAGAAGAAGGGTTCACATTCCGAAAGTGAAGAGGAAGAAGCTGGACGCCACCGCACAAAAGCTGATTTTCGTGGGCTATTCGTCGGAGCATAAAGCTTATCGCTTTCTCGACAAGGCAACGCGAAAAGTTTACGTGAGCCAACGATGAAAACGTGGAATTCGATCTCTTTCCACAACGAAGTCCGGCCGTACCGGAAGATCAGCATGAAGCGGAGGAAGATTACGATTCGGCGGTCGAAGATGAGATCGAATCCGACGAAGAGTTCCTCGGTTTCAGCGATGAAGATCCCCTACTCGGAGAAGAAGCCAGCACGGAAGCGAACGCACCACGGCGATCGGCACGCTCGACGAGAGGCATCCCGCCTCAGCGTTTCGATGATGTCACCAGCGTAACGAAGCATGCAAGCGAAGAACCCCAAAGCTACTCCGAAGCGATCGAAAGCACCGAAGCGGCCGCGTGGCAAGCCGCGATGCAGGAGGAGATCGAAGCACTTCAAGAAAACGGCACTTGGGAGCTCGTCCCACTACCCCCGGGTCGCAAGACGGTAGGCTGCAAATGGACGTTCAAGAAGAAGGAGGATGAACACGGACGAGTGGTGCGACACAAGGCGAGATTAGTCGCGCAAGGCTTCGCACAGAAGTTCGGCCAGGACTACGACGAGGTTTTTGCTACGAACGGTCCTCGTACTCGCCAGCAAGCAGAAGATGTTGGTGAAGCACCTCGACATCAAGAATGGGGCTCCAAGAGGACGCGTACATGAAGCAACCCCCCGGCTTCGATCGTAACGACGGCATGGTGTGCCACCTCAAGCGCAGCATTTACGGGCTCAAGCAGTCCGCTCGAGCATGGAACAGGAAAATCGACGGAGTTTTCAAGTCCATGGGTTTCCACCAGGCGGACGCCGACGCGTGCCTGTACATCCGGAATCGCGACGGGAAGCAGACATACATACTCATATACGTCGACGATATGGTCGTCGTCTGCAACTCGGAGGAGGAGTTCGAGCAGATTCGCCGACAGCTGCAGCAGCAATTCAAGCTTTCCTGCCTAGGCGAACTCAAATACAAAACAAGCTACATCGACAAGCTGATTCGACGATTCGGTCACGATCAAGCCAAGCCATCGAAGGTGCCGATTGACCCCGGATACCTCAAGCAAAAGGAGGAGTGTGAATTGCCCACAAACACGTCGTATCGCAGTTTGGTGGGCAGTTTGCTCTACGTCGCGGTCAACACTCGGCCAGACATCTGCGTGGCCGTTTCACTGCTGGGAAGGAAGGTCACCAATCCCACCAACCGCGATTGGACCGAAGCCAAGAGAGTCCTCCGATACCTCAAGGCTACGAACGACCATCGTCTGCACTTGGGTTCCGGATCCGACGAAGTGGAATGCTACGTGGACGCCGACTGGGCCGGCGACGAAGGCGACAGAAAGTCTCATTCCGGTTTCCTGCTGAAGTTCGACGGCGGTCTTGTCGACTGGGGCACAAGAAAGCAATCGTGTGTCGCCTTGTCGTCGACGGAGGCCGAATTCGTCGCACTGGCGGACGGATGTCAGCAGCTCATGTGGTTCCGGAAACTTCTCAAGGACTTGCAGCAGGCTCAAGTAAATCCCATTGTCGTCTGGGAGGTCAACCGCGTGGAATGAAGATCGTGGAATCAGAACGTCTGGAGAGGCGTTCCAAGCACATCGACACAAAGTACGCCTTCATCAAGGACCTGCATCAACAAGGTATCATCGAGCTTCGCTACATGCCAACCGAGCGCATGGAGGCGGACCTAATGACGAAGCCCCTACAACGAGTCAAGCTGGAGAAGCACAGAACTGCCATCGGCGTCATGGATCCAACCGAGACGTCGATGCCGCTTCCAGCAGTACATTTTCACCCAGTGCATAATCCAAACATCTATGTATCAATCACACAACACCCATACACGCACACTCACACACTTTGCTTTGCTAAATAAACGTTAGTCAGTACGACTCAGAGGAGAAACACGCTCCTTAGTTTTACTCCGTAAAACATACCCCACCGACAGATGTACCAAGCGAGCGGCCTTCATCCAGATCCGACAACAGGCTTCCACGAGGAACCAACCCGGTCGCCACCGCAATAATCGTGCTCCTACTATCAACATGGACACGTTTCCAGTACTTCAGGCTTGTCGTATGGTCCCGAACCTAGAACCGCTTCCACTAAATCGCGTCAGCTGGGATCAGTTTCTGTGTCGACTCCACTGTCGACTACGGTGTCCTTCCGGAGACGCCCGAAGACGTTGACCGGTTTCTGCGATATCCCGGGCCAGAGAACAACACGTGCCAGTATCCAGACAGGTGAGCAATACTCTGAACCTTGATAGAATTACCAAAAATCTCATTAGACTCCGTAACTTCATTCGAAGGCAATACCAGCGTTCTGGCTTGCCTGTCTTGAAGACCCACTGTAATCGCCTAACAAAAACCATCCAAGCTAGGATGGTGGACCTTAGAAATCAGAGATCCGCTCTCTCCCAGATTGTGCAAAACGCTTTTGGAAACTAACCAAAATTCTTAAAAATAAGTCAACACCCATTCCACCACTGACTTCACTGGATAGTCTGTTGGCCTATATCAAATCATCTAAAAACATGAAGGCCCCAGGTTTCGACAACATCCTGAATCTGGAACTCAAACACTTGAGTTCCAGGTTCTACAACCACCTAGCACTGATTTTTAATCTGTGCCTCCGACTTGGCTACTTCCCCTCGTGCTGGAAGTCAGCTAAAGTCATACCCATCCGGAAACTTGGGAAGGATCCGTCCTCTCCTTCAAGTTATCGACCAATCAGCCTTTTCTTATGGTTATCAAAACTGTTCGAAAGAGCAGTCTACCACCGGCTCCTAACATCTGCCGAAGAAAACAACTTGTTACTCGAGGAACAGTTTGGTTTTCGGAAAGGTCCTTCGACCGTCCACCAAGTCTGTTTCGAAAACATCTGCCATGACGTTGTTGGACTGATGTCAAAATGATCAAATTGCAGCACTACGGTCTTCCAATCTTCCTAGTGAAGATAATTAACAACTATCTATCGAACAGGGCGTTCCGAGTCTTTCTGAATGGCATCACATCGGATGCTTTCAACATCGGTGCTGGGCCCATTCTATTCAACCTGTTCACCTCCGATATGCCGGCTCTCCCTGATGGTGGATCGTTGTCTCTGTTCGCAGATGACACATGCATCGTCTACAAGGGTAGGGTCATCGGAGCTCTGACTGCCAAACTTCAGAGAGCCCTGGACGTCCTGTCTGAACATTACAACAGCTGGAAGATCCGTATCAACGCGGCAAAGACCCCTATCTAAATCTCCCAAACTTGTTCCAACAACAACAACAAACTAAATGATTTTTTAACATTTTGATAAAGTGGGCGATTTAAGGGGTCGTTACCCTATCTTACCACTCGAACTTTGCCTTGCAACATTATAGAGATTTTGTCTTCTAGAGCTTCGAGAAAATTGGGTCTTATGTATGCTCCCTCTGACATATCACATGTGAGTTGCTTAATTTTATAATAATCTCTAGTAGAAGGTCGTCTCAAAATTGACCGACTATGCAATAAATTCTCTTAAAACTCTTCTGAGAACTGCTTTGGAAATGTCCGCTCAAAATTCAATTCCATTGATAATTTTCACGGATCCTGAAATCCTCTTCACAATCTTTAAGCTATCCTTCCCAAAACTCCCTTGTAAATTTTATCTGAACTACCTCTTGAGTTCATTCTGAAATGTACTCAAAATTCATATGAAATTTTCAGCAAAATTCTCTTCAAAGTTCTACAAAGTGTTTATCCTGAAAATCTAGTCCAGTCCAAGGGTCTGGAAATGTTTTTTTTCCTGATTTTTCATTGAAGTTCAAGGGGTTTCTCCGGTGATTCCGTTTTTCCGGCTTTTCCTGGTTTTACCAGGATTCCCGGTTCCCTGAAATAGTCATTCTAAACTGAAAATCGATGAATTTAGTTCCACTCTCCAGCATAGTTGTCAAAAGTAAAAATACATACTTTTATGAATTTAAACCACTTTTTCTAAACGTTATTCTGAAATAAATAAGAAATCATATTTTGGTTAAAAATCAATAAAATTAACTGTCAAACAACGCTCGAAAAAATTAGGGTGGTTGATAAATTGTGACATAGAGGATCTGATTTTGCATCACATAATTAATTGACGTACCTCGCATGAGACCAACCCGTTATGTCCCATTCGAACCCATATTGGAGTCAACCTGGCACGACTCAGTTTCGATTCAGTACCCAAGTTTTCCTCAACTCAACATAAACACCCTAGAAAAACCTGGGCAATTCTGGTCCTTCCAGTTTGCAGCGAAATTCAAAATGTTATCTACCTCCAACACCTTCCACACCAGGGCGACTGACACCACTAATACACACACACACATTACATGTCGCTGCCGCATGTCTTGGTAATGCTTTCAACCAGTGTAAAGTGACTCAATTATGTGAGAAAATCATTCCCAACTGCAAAACATATTATTCAACAATGCAATGCACTAATTCCCAATTTACTATTGCAAATTTTACAATTCGCGATTTACACCTTCTGATTGATGCCAAATTATTCATCCCAATCGAGATGGATTCTGCAGATGTCAGTGACATTTTTCTCTATGTAAATTATTCGATTGTTGCTGCGATAAAAATGCAAACCGATCGAACTTTGTCCTGAATATAAACGCACTGGAATTCTTCGCACTCACCTGACTCTGCGTCAATCCATTGGCCAATTTCGATGCCAGAAGCTGTGGAAGAAAAATAAACCCATTTTAAGTGTTATTATTATTATTTGCTTGCCACACAGCCACAGTGTTAGCACGACGAGCTGTTCAATCTCGTTCGTCGTCGTCGTCTTTATCAAATCAACAACACGCGTCACACATTTCCCATCATTTTATTTTCTGTTCCGTTTCGTGGGGCGACGACAAAGGTACCTGAGGCACACCGATCAAAACATGGTCAAAATCGGTGGCTGGAGACCGAGCCGGAAGTGCATGCGGTCAGGTGTCTGCTCCCACTCGAACCTACCCCGTGCCATGCAGACACCTTCCGTGGAAGTTTACCACTCTTATTTTCAGTGACTTCCGAGACCATCGTGATTGCTACACATTGTACATGCATACGATGTGTTGTGTGACCGTGAACTCAAATTTAATTTAGTTTATGTCCCAGTTCATGAAATCCTTTCTCTTCGAGTAAGTACATTACTTTTATCGTTCACCTACCTGATGCACTTTGACAAAGTGACGTAAAGATCGCTGGCAATAGACGAGATCGTCCTTCAGCTCGTTCGGTATCTGGAATCGGAGCATTTTCTCCTTCTGACTTGCGTTCACCATTTGATCTCGACTCAATGACACACCTCACACTTCACTTGTAACAGTATTGATTGCGATAGCAAATTGTTCAAATTTAACCAACTATTTTTATGCTTCTTCGGGCACTTTAAATCACCACCGAAATGCCATTAGGCAGAGTAGTAGGCCTGACTAACTGGCTGTGCGGTTCGACTGAATTATGATGATAGCGAGTCGAGTGAGCCACGGGACACACAGACGGCGACGACGGTGTGCTTTGCTGTTGTTGTTGGTGTAGAATCGCCTTCTCTATCCACTCTCTCAAGCGACGAGTTGGACCTCTGCGTTTGTTTTGGGGTTTCTTTTCTTGTTGCACCACAGGCAGCAAAGCCATCGGAGATCTCTCTCTCTTCAACTCTCTTGAAAGTGACACATCTGATGTTGTTGCTGTTGCTGCTGCCGAAGGTGATTTTGACAAACGCGCGCAACGGTTCCACGGAAGCCAGATGGTGGACCGCCAAGTTGATGACTTCCGGTACAGGAACGGGCGGGATTGATGTGATGTGTTTCAAATCCTTCAAGAAGGTAAATTGCAAAGCAGAGATGCTAAATCAATTGTGGATTTAAACAGTTTCCGGTTTGTTTTTCGTAATTTCTATTTGCCAAGTTCACATCTCGAGGTTCGCATTGAGGAAGGCCTCTCATGCGATGGTTGCTCCACGTGCGGTTTTCCGGTGAAGTAGAAAATGCATCTAAATTATTTTGGCAGTTCACCGAAGACAACCATGGGTTTTCGATGTGCATCGTTGGTAGTCTAGATTTTAGTGCACTGAAACTAAAACACGTATAAAAGTCGTTGAATAAATCGGTGCCAACATTTCAGTGCTAACATTTGAAAACGGCGCAAAAGCCATTTGTAAACAAATGGTTTGTGGGCCCTTTACTCGCTACCCGAAGAACACCCACGCAAACCAACAGCATCGTCAGGAAGGGGAAAATTTCCCCTACCCGATGTTGCTGTTGTGTCGCGTGGGTGTACTTCAAGTAGTGAGTAAAGGGCCCACAAACCATTTGTTTACAAATGGCTTTTGTGCCGTTTTCAAATGTTAGCACTGATTTCATTAGGACGAAACTGGTTTTGTATATAATGACTGAAACTGTCGATTTCTCGCAAACAAAAGCAAATGTATTATACCAGCTGGTAGAGGAAACATTCATCTACCTCATGGCGTACTTAATTAGCTATTTGAGCTTTTATACGCCTTTTTAATAGAAACTAAGCGATCGATTCAACATATGGTGCGCATAGGAGAACGTCAAAAAGAGTGCCCTCCTCATGGACATGGAGGTTGACGGTACTGAAGCAAAGGGTTATGTTTAATTTCTTTATATTTGCAACGATGATGATTTCCTACAGTGACACATATCACCTTCTTAATGTTTCAGTATGCCTCAAACGATTAATTCTTGGTTGTTAATAGAACTTCCTTGATGAAATCGGCTGCTTCATGCAGACTGAGCAATTCTGATTATAGTATCAGATTTATTCTGTATACAGAGGAACTGGGAGGGCTTATTAGAAACTTCTCACCAATAAAGTGATAATCTTCTAGTAAATTTTGCATATCATTTAATTAAAATTGTATTTTATTTTAGTATATTATTTTTGTTACAGTGAATTGGCATTTGCATACGATACAAAAGATTTAATATTACTTGCTCGTTTTTGCATAAAATAATCAATAATACCTTTTGAAGTTTTTTTTTCAAGTTTTTTGTGATCTGATAGATTTCCCAGTTTGGTTAGAAGTTTCGAAGCTAACGCATGTCCACTTGCTATAGATGAGTGATTTTCGGAGTTTTGAATTCGTTAGATGTTGTAATGGGGATTTCTGTTTGTTGGATATGGGAGGAGATTGGAGGGCGGGTGTTTGACGCATAGAGCCTGTCCATTTCGCTTTCAGAGTGTCATGATTCGTGAGCGCTCGCGATTCGTAGAATTGTTGATTGTGACTGCAAGTGGATTTTGCGGGTTTTGTGTGTCGCATGTTTGCTTTTTGGCCTCTTCTTGTGTCTAACATGTGCGCAGTATCATTATAGCTTCTAATGATTTTGAGATTCCTGGTTGCGTGAAATATATTTGTGAGAATATCTTTTTGAGATTTTAGTAGTCACGTTTTGTTTGTGGTTTATATTTGATTAATTTTATTCAATAATAGATTATTCATCCAAATATTCAATAATAAAGGTTGCGGAGTGTTCGCCTTCGAAAATATCCAAAGACATTAAATTGGAGGCGGATTCTGGTGCGGAATTACAGGCTGCTTTTTTTTTTTTTTTTTTAATTCTTTATTTAAGAGATTTTTAGCCTTAGGCTAGTTCATCTCTAAAATTACAGGCTGCTGTTTTGAGCAACTTTCGTCATAAAATTAAAAATTACATTTAGGTATTAGTCAACAAATGTGGATAGTAACCCGCATAAACGCGAACCATAAATTGACCTTACCTAAAATGGTTAAAAATTGTTTATAATCCCTGCTAAACTTTAACTGAAATGGTTATGGAACTTTACATGAACGTTTAATGATAAAGTTTCAACCTTATGTATTATGGTTTTTTGGAACTGGACCTTACAAATAATGGGTTGTTAAGAACCATTACCGTTCCAAATTCTTGTTTTCTCCATACATTTTCGGAAAGAGAACTACGTAAGTACATTTTTACTTATGATTTGTTATGGTATGAAGTTTTGCAACCTTTTTTTTTTAATGCCGTTAAAACTAGGAGATGAGGAAGAAATATAATCATTTGGTGCAAACACACAACACACACACACACACACACACACACACACACACACACACACACACACACACACACACACACACACACACAAGCAGCAAGAGACGTCTTCTGGCTAGTGTGTCCTCATCAATACTAAGGTACGGAGGTCCAGCCTGGATTGAAGCGCTGAAAACGAAGCAGAACCAAAGGAAATTGAGCAGTACGTTCCGGCTCATGGCCATGCGAGTCGTGAGTGCGTACAGAACCATTTCGATGGACGCAGTATGCGTTATCGCCGGTATGATCCCAATCGGCATCACCTTGGCGGAGGACTACGAGTGCTATATGACGAGAGAAACCAGAGGAGTACGAAAAATGGTGAGAACGGAGTCGATGGCTAAGTGGCAGCAGGAGTGGGATGCAGCAGAGAACGGTAGATGGACACACAGGCTAATACCGACTCTTTCGACCTGGGTGAACAGGAAGCATGGAGAAGTCAACTTCCACTTGACGCAGTTCCTGTCTGGTCATGGCTGCTTCAGGAAGTACCTGCATCGGTTCGGACACACAACGTCACCCTTCTGTCCGGAGTGTGGGAATGT